ATCTCAACAATCACTGTTCCGCATCCAATCAATCTGCCTCTGTTTATAAAGTACAGTTTCCTCCAGACACAGCTCACACAATGTTGTATTCCATAAAACAATTAGAAATAGCAGGCATAATTATAAAAATGAATAATCACGTAGACAGTTCTCACATAACACTACGGACATAATAGTCATAGTAGGTGGGCAAAAACAACAGGTGAAATTTTTACAGACTTTAAAGAGGGTTTTGACAAAGTACTATATGAGAGATTGAGGTGTATAGAAGATCGAAAATTGGACTAAAATGGTTTGAAGACAGAGAGTTCTAGGGGTAAGGACAGGAGTTAAGGGCAGCTTCAGAAATGCTATCAAACATGAAGACATTAGTAAAATTGGAGATATACAGCATTGAGTATCACACCATAGATTGATGCTTTAAAGAGCACACACATTAACTATGCTGCTTAAATCAAAGCAAAACGCTGTGGATGCTGGAAATTTGAAGAAAACACAGAGTGCTGGTGAAACTCAGCAGGTCTGGCAGCATCAGAGAGGAATACAGTTAACATTGGACAGTTGTCATACCGCTGGTTTCTCCGATATTCTCAGTGTTTGTTAGCAGGAAACTGCCTGATTTCGCAAAATAGAAATATGTGACAACATGATAAAGTGTTGAGGGAATGAGATAGGATATACAGAAGAAACTATCTCCAGCAGTCCAAGAATCAAGAGTGAGGGACTGTTGAAACTGTATAAGATTAAATCTAAAAGATTCAGAATGAAAGGTCAGAAAAATTACTTGATCCATGCCTTCCAAACACAAAACAAGTAGGAGGAACCTGCACAGGATGGTGTAAGGCCCAATTTGGTAAAAAAAAACACAAGGTTGATTTAGTCTCTTAATCTCTCAACTGTCAGGATATCAAACTCCCACCTAATTTTAAGACCTCATTCACCATGTTTTTTACTCTTGCAGGCTCCATAACATTCCCTTACTTTTGTAAAAGGTAATATACATGGGTTGACCTTCAGGTGTAGATCAAACACCCATGTAATTTTTACTACCCTGTAATAAAGGCAATTAAAAAAAGCAGACAAATTCCAGGATGGGCAGGTCTCCCCTTCACAAGATTAATGCTAATTTGATGAAAACAAATATTTTCCCCATTCTTTTCCGCAATGTACTCTTACTGCCTGACCAATTTACAGTTTCTTCTATTCCATTAAACTGATTATTTCAGCTTGTGCAGAGATAGTAGGAACTGCCGACGCTGGAGTCTGAGATAACAAAGTGTAGAGCCGGATGAACACAGCAGGCCAGGCAGCATCAAAGGAGCAGGAAAGCTGATGCTTCGGGTCTGGACCCTTCTTCAGAAATGGGGAAGGGGAAGGGGGCTCTGAAATAAATAGAGAAGAGGGGAAGGCATTGATAGAAGGTGGATAGAGGAGCGGATAGGTGGAGAGAAGATGGACAGGTCAAGGAGGCGGGATGAAGCCAGTAAAGGTGAGTATAGGTAGGGAGTTAGGAGGGAGGTTGGTCAGTTGGGAGGGAGGGGCGGGTAGGTGGAAGGGAAGACGGACAGGTCAAGGAGGCAGGGATGAGGCTAGTAGGTAGGAAGTGGGGATGGGGGTTGGTCAGTGAGGTGGGAGGAGCGGATAGGTTGGAGTAAGGACAGACAGGTCAAGGAGGTGGGTCAAGATGGGCTGGTCTTGGGATGAGGTCAGGGGTGGGGAGATTTTGAAGCTCGTGAAGTCCACATTGAGACCATTGGGCTGCTGGGTTCCCAAGCGGAATATGAGGTGCTGTTCCTCCAGCCTTCGGGTGGAATCGTTGTGGCACTGGAGGAGGCCCAGGATGGATATGTCATCCAAGGAGTGGGAGGAGGAGTTGAAGTGGTTCGCGACTGGGAGGTGTTGTCGTTTGTCACGAACCAAGCGGAGGTACTCCACAAAGCAGTCTCCAAGCCTCCGCTTGGTTTCCCCGATGTAGAGGAGGCCACATCGGGAACAGCGGATACAATATACCACATTAGCAGATGTGCAGGTGAACATCTGTTTAATGTGGAAGGTTTACTTGGGGCCTGGGATGGGCGTGAGGGGCGAGGTGAAGGGGCAGGTGTAGCACTTCCTGTGGTTGCAGGGAAAAGTGCCGGGGGGTGGTGGGGCTTAGTGGGGAATGTGGAGCGGATGAGGGAGTCATGGAGAGACCGGTCCCTCCAGAAGGCAGATAAGCGTAGGGAGGGAAATATATCCTTGGTAGTGGGGTCAGATTGCAGGTGGCGAAAGTGGCAGAGAATGATGCATTGAATTCGGAGGTTGATGGAGTGATACGGGGGGACAAGGGGAATTCTGTCTTTGTCGTTATTGTGGGGAGGGGGTGTGAGGGCTGAGGTGCGGGAAATGTGAGAGCGTTTTCGACCACTGTGGAGGGGAAATTGCGGTCCTTGAAAAAAGAGGGCATCAGTGATGTCCGGGAGTGGAACACCTCATCTTGGGAACAGATGCAGCGAGGTGAAGGAATTGGGAATAGGGGATGGCATTCTTGCAGGAACGTGGGTGTATTCTAGGTAGATGTGGGAGTCGGTGGGCTTGAAATAGATATCAGTTTCCAGGTGGTTGCCAGAGACAGAGACAGAGAGGTCCAGGAAGGAGAGAGAGGTATCAGAGATGGTCCAGGTGAACTTAAGGTTGGGGTGGAAGGTGTTAGTAAAGTGGATAAACTGTTCGAGCTCCTTGTGGGAGCACGAGGCAGCGCCAATAGTCATCGATATAACGGAGGAAGAGGTGGGGGATGATCATTGTATCCGCTGTTCCCGTTGTGGCCTCCTCTACATCGGGGAAACCAAGCGGAGGCTTGGGGGCCGCTTTGCGGAACACCTACGCTCGGTTCGCAACAAACAACTACACCTCCCAGTCGCGAACCATTTCAACTCCCCCTCCCACTCCCACTCCTTGGACGACATGTCCATCCTGGGCCTCCTGCATTGCCACAATGATGCCACCCGAAAGCTACAGGAACAGCATCTCATATTTCGCTTGGGAACCCTGCAGCCCAAGGGTATCAATGTGGACTTCACAAGCTTCAAAATCTCCCCTCCCCTGACCGCATCCCAAAACCAGCCCAGCTCGTCCCCGCCTCCCTAACCATTCCTCCCACTTCAAGTCCCACCCCCATCTCCTACCCACTAACCTCATCCCGCCTCCTTGACCTGTCCATCCTCCCTGGACTGACCTATCCCCTCCCTAACTCTCCACCTACATTCACCTTTACTGGCTCCAACCCGCCTCTTTGACCTGTCTGTCTCCTCTCCACCTATCTTCTCCTTTACTCATCTTCTATCTGCCTCTCCCTCTCTCACTATTTATTTCAGAATCCCTTTCCCCTACCCCATTTCTGAAGAAGGGTCTCAACCCGAAACGTCAGCTTTCCTGCCCCTCTGATGCTGCCTGGCCTGCTGTGTTCATCCAGCTCTACAGCTTGTTATCTCAGATTCTCCAGCATCAGCTGTTCCTACTATCTCTCTCAAAGACAGAATTCCCCTTGTCCTCATGTATCGCCCCATCAACCTCCGAATTCAATGCATCATTCTCTGCCACTTTCGCCACCTGCAATCTGACCCCACTACCAAGGATATATTTCTCTCCCTACCCTTATCTGCCTTCCTGAGGGGCCGCTCTCTCCATGACTCCCTCGTCCGCTCCACACTCCCCACTAAGCCCCACCACCCCTTGGCACTTTTCCCTTCAACCCCAGGAAGTGCTACACCTGGCCCTGCACCTCCCCCCTCGGCCCCATCCCAGGCCCCAAGAAAAACTTCCACATTAAACAAATGTTCACCTGCACATCTGCTAATGTGGTATATTGTATCCGCTGTTCCCGATGTGGCCTCCTCTACATCGGGGAAACCAAGCGGAGGCTTGGAGACCGCATTGTGTAACACCTACGCTTGGTTCGTGACAAATGACAACACCTCCCAGTCGCAAACCACTTCAACTCCCCCTCCCACTCCTTGGACGACATGTCCATCCTGGGCCTCCTCCAGTGCCACAACGATTCCACCCGAAGGCTGGAGGAACAGCACCTCATATTCCACCTGGGAATCCTACAACACAATGGTCTCATTGTGGACTTTACAAGCTTCAAAATCTCCCCATCCTGACCTCATCCCAAGACCAGCCCTCTCGTCCCTGCCTCCTTGACCTGTCAGTCTTTTCTCCCACCTATCTGCTCCTCCCACCTCATTGACCAACACTCATCCCCACTTCCTACCTGCTAGCCTCATCTCACCTCCTTGACTTGTCCACCTTCCCTCCCACCTACCCACCCCTCCCTCCTCACTGACCAACTCCCATCCCAACTCCCTACCTACACTCACCTTTACTGGCTTCATTCTCGCCTCCTTGACTTGTCCGTCTTCTCTCCACCTATCTGCTCCTCTATCCACCTTCTATCATCGCCTCCCCCTCTCTCTATTTATTTCAGAGCCCCCTTCCCCTCCCCCATTTCTGAAGAAGGGTCCAGAACCGAAACGTCAGCTTTCCTGCTCCTCTGATGCTGCCTGGCCTGCTGTGTTTATCCAGCTGTACACCTGGTTATTTAAACTTCTGTATCTTACTCCAAATAAAAAAGAGCCTTTCAGGCACGGTTAAACATAGGTAGAATAGGAGCAAGCAGTATTTTACATAAAATACAGATGAGCTTTTGTCTTGGATATTAATATTGGCATTCTGGTAACACATCTGTATAAAAGAGTTGCCCACAATTGATCGCCATAGGCTTTTTCTGAAGCTGTCTGTAATAACTCTGTATGATGCTTCTCTACATTCCAACAATGATAAACCTCCAAAAGTATTTTGTATCATCCAGATATCATGAAATGTATGATTAGGAATGCAAGTTTACTTTTTCTTTACATATTTCAACCTAGAAGTCAGGGATTACTAAATTACAAAATGTTAAGTGTGGAACAATCACGAGAACATTGCAATTGTTAGTAAGTACAAAGAAAACTTACATCTCAGTTTATCCAGTATCTTCCCTCCACATATTGTTGCTAATGCCACTTTCACAGTAAGAACTGATATTTTGCCATGGCCTTCTCTGAAAATCAATCATGACATTTTAAATCAATAAATCTGCAGTTACCAAAAAAATTAGAAGCAAATGAACTAATTCATTTCAGCAAACAAATTTCGATCTCAATTTTACTTAGTTAATTTTATAAATTATGAAAAAGAAAATATATTTATTCTCCAATTTGAAAAATACTTTTCACAGAGTCATAGAGTCAGACAGCACAGAAACAGACCCTTGGTCCAACCTGTCCATGCCAACCATGTTTCCCAAACTAGTCCTGTTTGCCTGCGCTTGGCCCACACCGCTCCAAACCCTTCTTATTCATGCACCTGTCCAAATGTCTTTGAAATGTTGTAACTGTACCTGAATCTACCACTTTGTCTGGCAGTTCATTGCAAATACTCTGTGCGAGTTGTCCCTCAGGTCCCTGTTAAATCTCTAAATATGGCATCTATTTCTGAACTTCCCAACCCCAGGGAAAAGACCTTTGCTATTCACCTTATCTATGCCCCTCATGATTTCAAAAACGTCTATAAGGTCACCACTCAAACTCCTATGCTCCTGAATCACAGAATTAAAACAGTACAGAAGGAGACCATCATACAATAGAATATATTTCTCCGGTGCACTTCTTTCTTCTAATAGATATTTACAAACTGAAATTTACTGACAGTTTAAAACAAAAATTGAGAAAAAAAAAAAATTTTGCTCTGCATCGCGCTCTGTGTCTTAATGAGGTTATGGTGTGGCATGTAATTGTTAAAAAAATGTTATTCCAAGATAATTTAGGAAGCAATCGTAAAATCAATTATCCACTATGACTTCAGGTTGTGAGCCTGAGCTGAATCAGACTACGTGAGTCTTTAAAAAAATGCTACACTGAAATTACAACTATTAAAAAAAGATTCTGTTTGTCCTGTCACTTAACTTAAAAAAGAAATGCAATATTAATTCCACTGTTCTGCAATTTCCCCCATAACTCAAATTTCTAAACTTTAAAATAAATGCTTAAATATTTTATTTTTTCCTTTAACGGAAAAGAGGGCATTTCTGTGCTTCAACTATTCTATGCAAACTTTTCCTAACTTTTCTTTAAATTCCAAGCAAATATCTTCTAACTCCTTTCCTACCGTTTATCATAAACAATTAGAATGAGCGCTGTACAATAAGTAACCAAACATTCAGGCCTCAAAGAATTTAAAACTAAATACTGAATGTATGATGTTTTTGGTTCCTTTAATTCAGCAACTCAGAACACAATTAACTGCTCACACTAAACAGAAGATTAGAACTCAGATGTTAACTAAAAGGATGGTAATTTAATTGCACTAACACATCATTCTACGCAATAATGCAGTAAGAAACAATTGAGATTATAATAATGAGAGAAAATTATAACATTCTCACATTAATCCTGTTTCTAAACAGTTGTAATGTTACGGAAAATGTTTTTAATATTTAAGCAAGCTGTTTGCAGAATGTGTATTCATTCTTTTCCATACACTTGGTATTCCTCATGGAGAAAGAGACTGAGGCCTGTTATCTCCCTGTGTCTTGCCAATACCATTAGGCTACAATCAACACTTTTCTGGGCCCAAAATTTCTAGGGTAATTCCCAAAAGCAAGGACCAGCAGGTAATTATCCCATCAACATTCGCTGCAATATTGAAATAGATCTACTTTTGAATAGATGTAAAATCTCTGTCCTAGCCAGAAAGCTTTGGGGTCAATGTAGATGTGAACTAATTTGCTCTGAATAGGTAAATGCTCTTTCCAAGATAATCAACAAAGAGATAACATACCCATGAAGTGTTCATCCACTAATATTGCAATAATTACTTAGATTTACATTAGACATTTGTAATCTCTTCTTGAAAGAAAGATTCAAGAGTTTTAAGATTTCCAAAAAAGAAGCTGCTGTAACATTTGGAAGTCCAACTGTTTTATCGCTGCCAATGACCACTGCAGGGTTAGAATTTTTTTGCAACGTTTGTAAAAATAATTGAAAGAAGAAAATATTGCAGGTGATTTAATAAATCATTTTCTAACAATTAACTCCAAATTATCATTTAATTACTTTTTCAGTGATTACATGATGGTCAAGATGTCATTAAATATTGATCAAATGGAACATCCCAATTATCCATATTCACCAGCCACTGAACTTCATGTACAATAAATCACTTCAATAACTAAGATATTTTTGAAAGACATGTTTGATAGAGATAGATATCTGTTTTGAAAAATTACTTTGAATAGGACAAATCTTCATTAAATGGAATAATTTGGTGCCATGCGGATTTTCTTTATCTGTGGAAAAAAGCTTCCCGCTGGTCGTCTATACAGATGACTGAACTCTGGTTAGTTTTCATAAATCTATTTCATGCAAATTTCTGACTGAAGTGTGTTTGTGTCGTTTCATATTCATGTTTGGCTAATCAAGAGCAGAACTCATGTTTGTTCTCTGGAAGTTGTCTGCTCTATGGAATTTGTCTTTCTAAAAGATTGTTGAAATAAGCTGCAAGACTAATGGGCTCGTTTTTAAAAATAAATGCTCAGATTTGTATGTAACAAATTTAAATTCTGCACCACACAGTATCAAGACTTTTAGCAATAAATAGTACAAAAGGAAAAGCTATTAAAATTCAGACAGCTATTTCAGCAGCGAAAAGCATACATGGGGTGGCCCAGAAGTCCCGAAATCACCCCTCAAATTTCAATCAAGCAGGTGATTATCAGAGCAAGGTTGTCCCTGTATATTTGAGACACAGAATGTGTGAGGAGCTGCTTTTTCAATCAAAATCAGGATGCTTCAGCTGCACCAACCATAAGATCCCACTTTTCCAGTCTTGCCAGACCAGGAAGGAAGAGGGAACACCAGCTACTGATTGAATGGGCTAGAACTGGGCAAACTATGCACACGTGGATAGGGAGGCCCGGTGGGAGGGGGGGCGGTGGTGGGGGAGGTGGGGAAAGGATCCCTGTTCAAAGGCAGCGATATCACTGTGCCACAAGAACCCAACCAAAATAATTCTTTTCTTTATTATTTAAACTATTTTTCTAATCAACCTGTTCAGAGATGCTATTACACACCTCTGAAGCAGGTGGTAATTCAACCCAGACCTCCCAGTCCAGGCGTAGGGACACTATCACTACACCACAAGAGCCCTAATGTTCTCGTCGCAACCATTTTCAGCTGTTTCATCAAAAAGGAAGGGGACCACCCAATTTTAAAATGTTTTCCCAGGACCTTAAACATCTAGGTTTTTTTAAAGTTGTGAAGTTAAGATTCTTCATTGCTATGGTGCGCAGCAAGTCTTTTATTAGTATTTCATACGTAATACTTTAGTATTAAAAATAACCTATTATCTTCCACCACAGAGATGATCAGAAAGCAGATTCACATTTCACAACCACAATTTTGTTTAGAATGTTGCTGGTAGTACTTTTACTTTCCCACTCGTGGGAGGTGGGTGTTGCTGGCTGGTAAGTGGCTTGGAGGGTAACTTGAAGATGGTCGTGTTCCCATATCTGCTGCTTCTGTCCTTCTAGATACAAGGTGCTATCTAAGCATCTTTGGTGAATTTCTACAGTGCATTTTGCAGATAGTACACACTGCTGCTACTGAACATCGGTAGTGGAGGGAGTGGATGTTTGTCAATGTGGTACCAATCAAGCAGATTGCTTTGTCCTGCATAGTGTCAAGCTTCTTGAGTGTTGTTGGAGCTGCATCCATCCAGGCAAGTGGGGAATATTCCATCACACTCCTGACTTAAGCCTTGTAGACGGTGGACAGACTTTGTGGAGTCAGGGGGTGAGTTATGCGCCATAGTAATCCTCGTTTCTGATCTGTTCTTGTAACTATTATGTTTATGTGGTGAGTCCAGTTGAGTTTATGGTCAACAGTAGCATAAAGGATGTTGATAGTGGGGGATTCAGTGATAGGAAGATCATTGAATGTCAAGGGGCGGTGATTGGATTGTCTCTTATTGGAGATGGTCATTGCCTTGCACTTGTGTGGTTATTTGGCACTTGTCAGCCCAAGCCTGAATATTGTCCAGATCTTGTTGCATTTGAACATGGACTGCTTCAGTGTCAGTGGAGTTGCGAACGGTGCCGCACATTGTGCAATCATTGGCGAATATCCCAACTTCTAACCTTATGATGGAGGGAAGGTCATTGATGAAGCAGCTGACAATAGTTGGGCCTAGGACACTATCTTGGGGAACACCTGCAGAAGTGTCCTGGAACTAAGATGACTGACCTCCGACGATCACAATCATTTTACTATGTGCCAGATATGACTCCAACCAGCAGAGAGTTTGCCCCCTGTTATCCATTGATTGCAGTTTTGCTAGGGCTCTTTGATGTCACACTCAGTTGAATGCAGCCTTGATGTCAAAGGCTGTCACTCTCACCTCACCTCTGGAATTCAGCCATTTTGCCCATGTTTGAACCAAGGCAGTTATGGGGTCAGGAGCTGAGTGGCCCTGGCGGAACTCAAACTGGGCGTCACTAAGCAGATTATTGCTGAGCGGGTGACATGTGTTAGCACTGCTTATAACACCTTCCATCACTTTACTAATGATTGAGCGTGAACTGATGGGATGGTAATTAGTCAGGTTGGATTTGTTCAGCTTTTTATGTACAGGATACACCTGGGCAACTTTACACATTGTCGAGTAGATGCTAGTGCTGTAATTGTACTGGAATTGCTAGAGGAGCAGCAAATTCTGGAGCACATGTCTTCAGTAATATTGCCAGTGTGTTAACATTTTAAACCCTCTATGTTAATTAAGTTCTTGCTAATAAATGGAGTTACCTGCCAAAAATGAAGAGAACAGACAGATTTTTGACCATGGATTACAGTCTTTTTAACCATATTCAAACCAGCAACTCCTGTAAAATCTTCAAGACACTATAGCAAATTGGGGACATACAGTTGAAATTCTTTCAGTTATTGCCTGAGAATAGGTAGTGAGTGCTTATAATTAAATTTTGGATATTATCACCAATGGAACTGT